GTCTGTAGGGGATCCCTGCTGCTCCATTAAGGCCATACCGAGCCTCACAAACCCCTGATTGCATGAGCCATCATCAATAGCGCTGATTATAGGAGTTAATGATGGTGCTTGGCATGAGAGGATGGCTTTTCTTTCATCATGGATGTTAAAACTTTACAGTACTGATTAGGGGTGGGCGATATTGAAAAATATATTATCACGATATTTTTCAAGCAGTATCACGATAGACAATATATATCACGATATTTTTTCATGTCGGTTATTATGGTTATTTTTCAAGTTACTTAACAGTACAACCACCTACAAGGTAACAGAAACTAAAACAAAAAGGAGTAACAGACCAAAATAGCATTTCAAGCTGGTTTTATTTCTGAAATGAATCCCTGAATGAACAATTCAACATTTTGATATGGCTTCAAGGCACAGTTTCTCAGTATAAAAATGAACTTTCTGAGGTAGCACTAGCAGTGAACATCAATAAACATGAAAAGGAGGGTAAAACATAACTAAGTAAAACATAAAACATCAATGAGGAAAAGTCAGTGCCAAACAATTAAAATGTAAACTTTAGACTTGAAGTGCAATAAAAGACTTTAGCATAACTGAAGGGAAAAACTATATAAATACCTTATTGATTAAATAAAATATAAGCCAACAGAATCAAACAAGACAATAAATAAAGTGCAATACTGTCTGAATCCTGACTAGACAGCTTTAGAGCATGTCTTTCACATCAGTTTATTTTTTTAATATATTTTGTTTCCAATTTTTTTTTTTTCAATTTTTTTTTCAATTTTTTTTATCACCATAGATTCGATATCTCTGAAAAAGCATATCGTGGAGACCTAATATCGTCACGACGATATATATCGTCATATCGCCCACCCCTAGTACTGATGCAGTGATACAGTGTTGCAATATTACATCACTATTGTTCGGCACGGACAATGACAATATCTTCGCAAGTGGTTAGCAAAAAGTGTATGGAGTACTAATAGCTGTTGCCATAAGGGAAATTCAATTGGGTGTTTTTCCCCCGTTGCCTGCTTTTCATTCAAACTGTGGTGTGCTTGGATTCTCAGAGCTCGTGCCCCTGTCAGCTCCATCTGTGTGCTCAGACAAGTCCTGACCCTCACGTTCTGCAGCCAGCTTGCATGAATATGTCTTTGCTTATGTGTGTGTGTGAGTCGCTGTAATGTGCTACGTGTCTGACATGTGCACAAAACCAATTAGTTTTGGGATGGCGAAGTAGCTGGCCATGGGAAAATGACAATGGAGTAATTGAAGAAGCTTGCTGAATGAGAGGCCAGACAGCTCAATGCAGCTTTTACAAGTGCCGAGTGTTTTCTCCACGGACAAAACGAACAGAGAGGAAAGCAAATCCTGAAACGAAGGTGGTCTTCTGTAGTTGTAGACAGTAAATAACATTACTTCCTTTAATTTTGCTGAAATTGATTTTTACTCAAGAAATACAGCTAGTTAGGTTGTGCTGTGGCATTTAAAGGTCTCTAACAGTGGTTTTACAAGATTTAGCTTATTGCATACAAATTAAATTGACCTTGCACAGCTTAACCTTTTGCAAACCATGCTGTTGTTGTGTCCCAGGATTTTCAACCATTTCAGGCACCATTAACTTGCACCATCGGACGGTAGTTAGCAACTAGCTGGTAAACATAATGGTGAAACCTTATTAAACGCATGATATTAGTGTTGAGGCTCACCTAGTAGAGCGGCACCTCATATACTACGGCTGATTCCTCACAGCTGCACCCTCCCTTTTCAACTTTTCTGTAATCTTTATCTTTGCTGTCCAATAAAGGCAAACCCCCTTTCTCAAGTCTTTTAATAACAGTGCAAGCATTTCAAAATGTCAACTTAAGAGGTGATCCAGCTAAATGATCGACCAAAAAGGTAGATAATGCTGTTTTGAAGCACCGGTTTGGTTGTTCAAATTCTCATTAAGCAGTCTGGCAGCTGTCGTCATGAAGTAGTGCCTTTAATAACTACCGTATTGAGTTTTTAAAGTGACACAGTGTATCAGTTTATCATCATCTTGGCCTCATCTATGTTATATATTTAAGATATCTGGCTGCAAGTGTCCTTTCCAACTTGCCATGTTTCTTTCTAAGAGACCCTTTTCTGTTCGATTTTATCAGCAGCCGGATCGCTTTTGGCACAGCACTCCAGACAGAACCCGGGTTTTATCTCGCCCTCAGCAGTCTGCAGTGAAGTGAGCATTATTGACTTTGGCTTTTCCAGTCCTGTCGGCACAGGATTCATAGGAAAGTTTAATAAAAGTGATGAATATTTTCTGATTGCATGTCCACTCGAAGAATTGCATATTGAAATGAGAAGTGGGTTTTGGACTGGAGCTTCTTCTTTAAGATGCAGGGCTTCTCTTGCTTTAGCTCACAGTACTGCCATTATTGCAGGCTTCTGCTTCTCCCTACATTGGCAAAGGAAATGTTTTAAATGAATGAAATAAATACCCCACTACTTATTATACATAGGGTCATATCTGGTTGTTTTTAATCATTTGCTTCCTCAGTGTTCAGGCAGGAATTCAGTAGTTGGCTTGCTCTCACATCTTAAGAGCCCCACTTGAGTTTCCACTGTCGCCCTACTGTGAGAGGGATGTTGGTCCCCGTATCACTGCAGCTCACAGGGATAATTATAGCACACGTACACACACATGAATATTATCGTCACACACATACAGTTTGCACACAGAGACACACACATGCTGACCGGCTTGAACTGAGCTGCTACACCTCATTAAATTGGGAAATGAATCCTGGATGAAGTCCTGGCTCCTTTCCAGATAAGAATCACCAGACTCTCAGGGATCCACCATAAAATGTATAATTAACACATTTATTCTCTTGCTGTCGCAGGCTGTCCTTTCTCTTCACTTGTCTGTGACTGCTCGAAGCTCATACTCTATTATATATTTTGGTTTACGAATCATAGTGGTCTTAACAACTTTTAACATTCAGACCAGTTTAATTCTCCACCGTCTTCTATAGAGAAATGTAGCTTTCACAGTACAGACATTATATTTAAAACAAGGTCCACCAACACAAGTCTGTTACTTTGTCCCCAGGCAATTTAGAGAAGGCAATTTCACACCAATACAATTTAATTGGCACTGAGAAGTCATTACAGCCCAAAACCTTACTAATCTCCACAAGTAGATATTTTCATTAATGACATCTGATTGTAAATTCCGAGCACATTTGTAAGCAGAAAATAAACATTGATGACAGAAATGATCACCAGGTTTTCCGCTCAATGCAGATGCAGCGCCCCCTCCTGCAGCCTACAGATGAGCTTGATGAAATTGTCCCCTGTGGATCTTTTGGTTGGCTTGGTGTTAAAGTCAGTTCTGCCTGATGTGTACATGGCAGAATGATTGGCTGCCCTAGGCAAAAAATACAGGCCCTCCCGAGGGAGGTGTAGTGGAAGCCGGGGGCAGCGGACGTTAGCCTTGGTCTCCTCCCATGCCACCAGACTCTGAATCATGACTGTAGGGCAGCGCTAACAAATACACCAGATCCCCGAGGAGGCGCAGGCCGGAGTCTGCCTGCCTCGCCTCTGGTCCCAGACTCCGTTCCCCCCCCCCACCACCCCACACCCAGAGGCAGGAGAGCAGCTCACATCTGCAGCTCCATCTTTTATGCGCTCAATTTGATTCTTTTATGCATTAACGGATAATGATATCCCACTTTTGATAGTGTGGTTTTCCTATAGTGCAGCAAATTAATCTGCCTGAGCTCTAAATTAAGCTGTGACGTTTTAATACGGTGCCAGCGGAGGCCTTGGGTAAGACAGGCTGGAGAGCAAGATCAAGACAGGTCAGGCTGCAGTTGTTAAAAGACAGAAAATGACTCCTACTAACTTCTGTTTCCTATTTTCTTTTTCACTCATAATTTGCATACTAGCTGCGCTCACATTCATGGGAAATGAATGAATTAAACTGCTCACTCCTTTGTGACAGTGTTGAATTATGATGATGAATATGAATTAAATTGAGCAGTCATAATTATTAATCTCTGAAGCTTCGGTCGCTCTGGTTTTAATGACCCTTGCAGCGATTATTTCAACATTTGCATTAAGATATCATTCCTTTTGATTTTTTTCTCCGAATTAGAATTGCTTCTGGTTGGATGAAGGTGCGACATAACACTGAGCTGCCTAGCAACACCAAGAGGCAGATTTCAAACCTGTTATGTTCAATACATTTCCGTTTCCAGTCTATTCACAGCCTGTTAACAATAGTGTTGTGTTGAAGGATAATTAGATTTTGTCATGTAACAAAGGAAATAGCATACCCTCATTTAATTAACAATTATTCAATAACCAATTAGCCTTTCAACAGTTTGTTAGAACCTCTGAACATTTCACCTCTTGAACTTAAGCATCCTGATGAACTTCTACCATCTGTCCCCCCCATTGAACTAAGGTCTGCCCAATCACACATGAATTCCCCACTGCAACGGTCCCATGATGGTTCCCTGTCTGAAATCCGACCTCATTGCGGATCAGTTTGCTGCGGGCGCAGTCAGTCAATCAAACTGATAAAGCTGAGAGTGAAATGGAAAGTAAAGTGTCCCCGTGTCTTGTCCCTTGGCATGTCATTGGCTGATGTGATCGATATGGCAGAGAGGCCTAATGGCATCATGGCCACAGCGGTGATAGCCAGGCAAAGTGAGCCCATGTGGGCCATGTCGGTCCGTATCGGAGTGCACTAGATCAAAAAGATAGCTTCCAGCAAACTGCACTGCATGCCAACTAACATTGATCTGTGGCCAGAGCTGTACAGTACGTGTTGTTCTCTCCCCTCTCTGCCTCTCTCTCAGCTGATGAACACAACAGAATAAACTCGCTTCTATGATTGATAGCCGCAGTAACCGGATGTGCCATTCAACTCAGTAATCTCTGTTCCCGGCTCTATCCTCTTATCTCTGACGCTCTCTCTTTCTTTCTTTCTCTCCCTGCAGTTGTGGATGTGCACGTGTCCTCACACAGTGTGACTGAGCAGAGGGGCGGGCCGTCGCTGTATTTGGGGGCAGACCTTCGCATCACACACAGATGATGGAGAGGAGGAGGATGGACGCGGCGCTGCTGGTGCTGTTCCTGGTGCAGCTCACCACTGCGCTGGAGGTCCCACTAGACCGTAAGTCTACACAACGTATTTGTATCCAAGTTTAAAATGTGGTATGACAGGTCCAAATCTATTGGAAAAAGTGTTATTTGCAGTTTCTGAGATTGTCATGATTTTATTCATCATATATCAAATAAATGAATGTTTGGACTGTTATTGAAGAACAACAGGCAAAATGTCAAAGTTGTACTGTAACTTTGCCTTTTCTGATTCGTTAATCTTCTGACAGGCTAGCTGTTTCCCCCTGTTTCCAGTCATTGTGCTAAGCTAACTAGCTGTCTCTGGTGTCATAATAACCATACAAACAGGGTGCCAAGAATGGTACAACGCTTCTAATTTAAGTCTTGATAAGATAGCTAATACAAGTATTTCCCAAAATGTTGAGCTATTCCTCCTTGAAAAGAGGAAATAGATTAATTTATACTTAAAATAATTGTTAGTGTTTTTGTCAAAATTTGAATTAGTTTGATTACCCTTTTTTTTTAATACTTTTAGATCAAAGCAGCTTAATAGTTGGAAATGCCATCATCTGTCCGTAACTGTGTGTTAGTGATTCGTTAAGGCCTGCATCAGAAATGTCTAGGTCTAATCACATTTTATTCTTACCAGCTATAAATGCTCTACGTATTATAGGGTTGGCTATCTGTTTTCTTCACAGCTGATTTTATTTCTAGAGGAAATGTTGCTTTGTTTTTTAAGCAACCAGTGCTTCACCTTCTGGCTGATGTGAAACAGGAACAAGTCTCAGATGGAGTTGTAGCCCCGCAGCCTTATGTCATGTTGGTACTTTAGATCTTGTACACAATGCTTGGCTGGAGCTGTTAACCAATGGAGGCCTTGTTTAAACCGTGTCTGAAGCCAAAATAATGCAAAAATATATTTGTCACCACTAATGTCTGGTTCTCTTCACTGTCATGATGTGTCCTTTTTGTTTGCTGATTCTGGATAACACTAAAGTTCTGGAAGGATGTAAGTCTCAAACGAGTGTGAATTCTCTGCAGAGGTTGTGCTAGCAGTTTTTTTGTTGTGCATTGAAGGTTTTATTTGATCTTTTGTTATATTTGTGTATTATGTTTTCTTTGTTTTTAAGTTTATAAGATGCTGAGTGTGATTTGCAGTGGACTTTTATACATTGCATGCATTGATGTATTTTGTTTTCTTGTTTGCTGTTATCGTTTCTCTGTGTTTCTGCAGTGGTAGAGTATTTTCCATAGAGCATTATTGCAAAGCGCATGACTTGTTGTTTCATTTGTTTTGTCATAGTCCATTAGTTATTTCCCAGCACTGACAGGAATACATTAAGCATTGGATCATTACAATAAAGGGAAATGTGCCTGAGCGTGCTGCATGGTCTTTTTTGCTGCTGCACGTTATGAGAGTCTTTTGTGTCTGTCAGCAAACAGCCGTCCGGTTTGATTCAGTGTGGTACGTCTGCATGTGATTGGTAATGACTGCTTGGGTGGTCAATACAGCAACAGAAAGAGGCTTAGTTATGCAGTAACGGTCATGATTAAATATCACCCTCTTTCTGATCACTTTCAGTGCCGCAGCCACCGACCATAACTCACCAATCCCCCAAGGATTACATCATTGACCCACGAGAGAACATTATAATCCACTGCGAGGCCAAGGGGAAGCCTCACCCCAGGTAGGAATCTGTGAAGTGTGATTTTGCATTCATTATGCTGATACAGAGAGAGATGTTCCAGGTTTGGAATCCACCACCATCTGTTAAAAGCCTCAGCTGACAGCCAGTTTCCAGAAATGTCAATCTAAAACATAATAAGTAAAGTTCCAGTTTATTCAAGCTATAAATAAAAAAAGGTATTTTATTCATGCAGATGCCGCACTCTACTGAGACAGATTGCTGCTAAAGCTTATGAATGTTCTGCTCCAAATTATGCCATCCTCTTCCCTCTATCTATCTCAGTGTAGCACCTAATTAATTTGAATGCATAAACACACACACACACACACACACACACACACACACACACACACACACACACACACACACACACACACACTCACACTCACACTTTATATGACCTTAACACCTAAATAAAGTCTTCCTTCAAACATCCTTTTGAAAAAGTGAAATGCAGGTGAAGAATTTGAATCTCTTGATTCTTGATTGAGATTGGCTTCAAACGTTGCTAAACTGGGATTGGTGCACAGAAATATGACATCTCCTTTCTGTCACCAAACTCTGCTACATGTTTTCACAAGAATGTTGTAATCAAACACACATAATACATTTTAAAGCTACTTACTACAATACAGCATGGTGTCTGTATTCTTCACCAGATTACCATAGCAATGTTTCCTTAAAGTCTTAATGTCTGTTTACCCCCCTTTTAGTTTCTCCTGGACCAGAAATGGGACCCACTTTGACATTGACGAGGACCCCAACGTCACCATGAAGCCCCACTCTGGGACGATGGTGGTGGACATCAGCAGAGCGAAGGCCGAACATTACGAGTCTGTGTACCAGTGCACGTCGAGGAACAAACACGGGACTGCCGTTTCCAACAACATAGTCGTACAACAGTCCAGTAAGTGCAGAGATACAAGTCTATTATTTCTATCATTTCATTTTTCTTCCACTTTCTTAACGTCATGCATATCTCATATCATTCTTTTTTTTCTTTTTCAAACACTTAAGTTGCATTTTCCTTCTTAAGAGAACTCCTGACAGGTAAAGGTTGCATGTCGAAAGCAGCACGTTACTCTGAGGGATGTAGCAGTAGATGGAGCGAATTATCCTCTGTGTTTCTCCTCTTGTGTTTGGTTATTCAGTCAGCCATCATCCTTCTCATCCTGCCTCGTCACCTCTGTCATCCTGTCAGCAACAGTCCATTAGCAACCCATATTTACTGTCTTCTACAAGACTCCTCTTCCACTGACGTGTGTTTCCTTCTCCAGGGTCCCCCTTGTGGTCGAAGGAGAAGCTCAAGGCGATGGTCGTTCAGGAGGGCGTGTCCATGGTGCTGCCGTGTCGCCCCCCCGCTGGCCTGCCCCCTCCCATCATATTCTGGATGGACAATAGTAAGTGCTTTAGTGATAAGATAAGAGGGGGACAAGACATTATAACACACTGTTGCTGAAGTGTCTGGAAATCTCTGATAAATATGTCCTTGTAGCAAAATTGTTTCTGATCCCAACAAATCCTCAATAGTGTTTCTTACCATTAACAGCCTGTATTTGGCTTTTATCATTAACATGCCTCTTTCACTTAAGACGTATTCATTTGAACAACTGTGAGCATCACTTGCCCTGTTTGTGGCAGGGAATTAAGTGTTTTTGAGAAATGTGGTCTAAAATTTGAGAAGAGTATTTAATTAGAGGCCATTAGTCGTCTCATCCTTGGTGCTGTTTATTTAATGCCATCCCACTTAGTATCACCCTCAATTAGTTCATGATTACTTGAATCGTTAATTGTGTTAAAATGTAACTGGTTAGTTTAAAGTGATTCAATTTAATGTTCAGATAATGGATGGAACTTCTGTTGAGGTCAAGAATAAAAATGATAAGTTTTATCTAAATGTGTCATATTGATGTATGCAGTCAGTAGAGACTATCTATTGGGTAGAAACACATTCCATGAAAACTTTAAGAATATACCAATAATATTTGATCCAGAATTTGACCTTATAACCTTAATAACATTTGTTGAAATTGTGGTATGCTTGTAAATATTGAATGTGCTGTACATTTCAGACTTCCAGAGGCTGCCTCAGAGCAGCAGGGTGTCCCAGTCCCTGAACGGAGACCTTTACTTCTCTAATGTACTCCGAGAGGATTCCCGGAACGACTACATCTGCTATGCCCGCTTCCCGTACACACAAACCATCCAGCAGAAACAACCCATCTCCGTCAAGGTCCTCAACAGTAAGTCTGACTGTGTGTGTGTGTGTGTGTGTGTGACCAAGATCAAGGAAGTCAAATGTAGGCGTTATGAACTAGCATGACGAAGACGCTGGAGTGTGTGTGTCATGAGGCAGTTCATTCACAGTAGTATGTGCTTGTATGACTGCGTAGGAGGGAAGCAACATTTCCTATCTCTGAGACCATCCTAGGAGGCGCCTGCGCTCGTCATCCCTCTGAAAAGACATATTGTCAGAGCTCTCATGGCTCCCAGCGCTATCTGCGAGGCAGCCGTTCATTTCATTGAGACGTTCTGAATATGCACACTCCACCAGCAACAAAGACTGCTCTCATTCACGGAGCGTTCTGCTGTTGACATGATGGCACGCTGTTCCCACAAGCATCTTATTGTCATATTTGAGTCATCTTAAAGTTTTGTTTTTAATTCTGAACACTCATGTTTATTTGTTTTTATTTTCTCCATGTGCCTGATAATTTCAACTTTGTTTCAACGTGTGTGATTTTTCTGTTGTGTTACAGTGGATGCAATCAATGACACAATGGCAGCTTTTTACAATGAAACTGATTTATTTAGTGGTGAGTTTTGGCATCCTCTGGTGTCCACCCCCCAATCTCCAAACTCTAGCTTATACCCACTAACACTAACCCTTCCACCCAACAACCCAAAGCTTTTCACTATCTCACGGGTTCATTCAGGGCTGGGATCTGGCACCCTCTAGTGTTTACCCCCCAACATAGAGCTCTAAACTGTAGCTGAATCCTAACCCCTAAATCTCTTTCCTTCTGCCACTCCTGCTCTATCCAATCAAAAACCTTTTATTACCTAATCACTTCCTCCTATGAACTGCTTAAACCAGTACTGCATGATAACTCCAGTAGAGATTGAACTAATTGTTTAATCAGAACATGTTACAACATTTGTAGAGTTTTTTTAAGCTTTGAAAACTACTTTTACAATAAAAGAAATCTAATGAATGTTAAGAACTGTTATCATATACGAGATAAACAACTTGCTCCTAAAATATAGATATTTTAAAAGGTCTTCCTGGTTGCATTTCCTCCATTTTCCTGTCAAACAGCCAGCTGCGATCTTCATTTTCAAAATCACTCTTCCCCACTGCCCCTCCAGTAGTTAATCTCTGTCACCCATCATTTCAATCTCACTTCATTTTTCATTTCTCAAAAGATCATTTGTTTTTATCCTTGTCTCAAGATTACAACACCTGTCCAATCAGAAACGTGGAAGCAGTTTCTCAATGAATTGCTCACAAGCCAGTGTGTTAATGTGTCCTCAATATCACTATCATAAACATAAATAATGATTATTGTATTATTATTTTATGACAAGCATTTTACTTATCTACTAATTCAGTAGCAAAAATCAGATGCTTATGTATTACATTCTCAATCCTATATTATATTCATTATTTTATCCCAAAAGGGCAATTAATTGGCTCTAAATACATACAGAATGAATAGCCATAAAACACAACATGGCAATAAGATTTAAATCTACTCATAAATGTAATCATAAAATATGAGAATGTGGTCTGTAGAAGTGGTTTAGCCCTCATGCAGAACAGACTCACGGAAGAAGGGAGAGAGAAGAAAGGACTGGGAATGTGAAGTGCCTGCAGAGGAGATGGTAATATTTTCTTCTCTGTGAATCTGTTCTGCGCGTAACTATAGAAGAGCCAGCCGACGAGAGGAAGCCAACCTTCCTCATCCCATCTGGCCCCTCCAGCTCCAAGATGGTGCTGAGAGGACAGGTGTTGGAGATGGAGTGCATTGCCGAAGGACTGTAAGTAAAAGAATCTGCCATTACTTCAGCCCCGAAAAGCCTCAAGTGCCCACCTGCTCGAGTGTCATCAACACTCTTTGTCTTCTCTCTCATTGAATTCAGGCCCACCCCCGAAGTCTCCTGGATCAAAGTGAGCGGCGATCTCCCAGCAAAGCGCACGTTTTTCCTCCACTACCAGAAAACCCTTCGCATTGTGAACGTGTCAGAATCGGACGCCGGAGATTACCGCTGCACCGCCAGGAACCGTCTGGGCTCGGTGCACCACACCATCAAAGTCAATGTCAAAGGTGTGTCTCTGATGGAGCGTACAGTTTCCCATCAGGCCATTCGTTCACCGTGTGGCGACACAGTCAATCCTTCTTCCTGTCTCCTCATTCTCCCTCCATCTCATAATTGATTTATGCACAGATGCCAGCAGGGCAGTGGGTTCAGTGATTAATTGTCCAGCCTTCTGCTTCGCTCCATTCTATTTTCAGCCGCTCCATATTGGATCAGCGGCGCCCCGAGGAACCTGGTCCTCGCTCCGGGAGAGAGCGGCGTGCTGACCTGCAGAGCCAGCGGCACGCCCAAGCCCTTGGTCACCTGGGCCATGAACGGCATCCCCATCGAGAGTGAGTGCAACCTGTTCCTCTGACTGAAGATGCCGTATTATGGCCTGTTTCAGTTTCAATCTCAATCTTTATTTATACAGCACATTAAAAACAACCTCAGTTGACCAAAGTGCTTTACAGGCAATAAATACAATATAAAATAACACAATGGGAATAAAATAATAAAACAATAATTAAAAACATGATAAGAAGCACAATCTAGAAACATATAAAAACACACAAGTTTTAATTTGATATAAACTGATAATTGTTTAAATAATATTTTTTTATTGAAGATTTGTGAAGAATTGATACGGTGTAGAATTCTCTTACCTATGGTGGAGTTTGAGACTGATATCAAAACACTTAATATTAACGTGTTTTTCTTCACAAATCCTTTCTCCGATACAGTGAGTATTATAAATGTGTTTTTCTTCTGCATCTTTTTAATATTCCCGAAAATAAACAAAACTAAATTGCATCAGTGTTTCAATTTGGTATCAAATGAAAAGTTCAGCATTTTTTTTGGAGAACACAACAATTATGTTCACCTTAAGATAGCTAGGCAACCAGGGGAGACAACAGGAAGTAACTACACCTAGCCAAAATTAAATCCTGCACATTGTCCCCTGTAAAACCACAACTTGACCATTTTACACTTTGCTTTTTGTACAGGTTAACAAGAAAGATACAACGTTTTAATGAATGTGCTGTTGGGAGATTCTGTTGTCCTATTTGTTATCCCCCCCACGTTTCCAGTCTTCATGCTGCTGCTGGTTGTTGCATCATATTTGGTGCAGAAACATAAATATTCTCTCCCTACTTACAGTGCGTTTTGATTTCCCCAAAATTCATCAACTGTTACTTTAGCACAGAGCAGCAATGGACAAACTGACAAATTACAATCGGAAATGACTAGTATAAGTATTTATTTCATTTTTCAAATAATCTATGCTACGGTAATATTTTAGTTGCCACTCAAAAAGTGTGATATCCAGACCTTTATGTTGGATACATAAATGTTTAAAATCTTAAGTTACAGTATCTGTTTAGCAACACAGACCCCCAAAAGGTCCCTTGAGCATGTTAGTGTCACCCAGAAAACAGAGAGTTGCCTCTGTAACCCCTGTTTTCCCATGAGCAGATTCCCCTAAGGATCTCAGCAGAAAGGTGGAGGACGACACCATCATCTTCACCGATGTGCAGACGGGATCCAGCGCCGTCTTCCAGTGCAATGTCTCCAACGACTACGGCTACCTCCTGTCCAACGCCTTTGTCAATGTGCTCTGTAAGTTCATTACACAAGATCCATTTGTGGTGGAGTGCTGTTTCCATTTCCATTGATTTCTGTAGTGTAATAACGCACCAATAATTGCTGCTGCCTCATTGCAGCGGAGACGCCCAGAGTGCTGACACCATCCAACAAAGTCTACCAGGTCATCAAAAATCACCCGGCCCTGATAGACTGCGCTTCCTTTGGGTCACCCATCCCTAAAATTACATGGTGAGTTAATGATCTTTTAACAGAGGAAAGTGTTTTATGTTTATTCAAAAGCTTAAAGCGGCTTTCTCTCTGTTTAAGGTTCAAAGACAGTCGCTCCAGCACCCTGGATGGAGACCCCTACATCGTGCATGACAACGGGACTTTGGAGATTCACGTAGCTCAGGCCAGGAACAGTGGCAAATACACCTGCGTAGCCAGAAACACCCTCGGTAACTACGAGAATCACGTCTACCTGGAGGTCAAAGGTGAGTGTTTCAGCACTAATGGTGTGAAGCTGACAATTGAGCGGCCCAACCAAGCAAGGAGGCAGAGGCAGAGAGTAGTGATGTTACGTATTGCGCCGAGGCTTCGGAGCGTGTGTCGAGTAATCCCCGAAGCTTTTTGTGAAGCATGTATCGAGGCTTGTATCGTTTTGGGCCAGTGACGTCATCGATGACAAACGAAGCCTCGCTGCCTGTCGATACCACGTGACTGCTTCAGGAAGCGATTCAGATCGGTTGAACCGTTGAACCATGGTTGAACCACAACGCTCATAATACCCATGGATGTATAATAAGAACCATATTACCCCTCCTGTACCCGGGTCCGCTGGTGACACGATGGAATTAAAAGAGCTCAGAACCTCACTTATATAGAGGTCGGAACATAAGTATAAATAGATACAAGCATAAATAAATATAGGAATAAAAACATGATTGAATAAATACAGGAATAAATATGTTACAGTGTTTTCAGGGAGATTCAGTGTGTGTGCTGTGGCTCAGCTGGAAAGCAGTTGACTCACGACCGCAGGGTCCCTGGTTCAACGACTCGTCAATACGTATTTTTTGTTGTTTATAAAAGCTACAGCTAAATGAGATAATGTAGTTAATAAATGTATTCTTTGATATGGTTTAGCCTTCTCAGGCTACAACATGGTTAAGTGTATGAATATTATTAAGGAATACAAATCCCTCTTTGCAATGTTTACCAGCCTCCTTAGGCTTTTCAATCACAATCAACTGGAATAAAAACAATATTGTTAACATGAAAATATGATTTAATGTTCGTTGTTTAGAGTTATTCTAAGGCTTTACTCATTGGGAACTCGGTATGAGATAGAGCACACTGTTGAGATGTCCAATCTGCCTGTTTTACACACTTTGACCAACAGGGGGTTTGTGTTTAAATGAAGCCCATGATGAAGCCTCATGAGATGAACCCTTTTGCGAACCAATTGGCTGGAAAGCTTCAAAGCTTCATAAGGTTTAATCTCGCCATCACTAGCAGAGAGTTCAAATATAACCCAGTGTGGGCATTTATTCCTCATGGGCACATGATTCACAGCCTCAATATGACTGTCCTCCCTGAACACAGTCAGCAGCCACAAGGATCTCACACACACTAACAGGAAAAACAGCACCTAAATACACACAGACTAATCAAACCAACAAGACACAGGTGAGGGGGGAGGAGACAACACAGGGCACCAGGTGAACACAATCAGCAGCAACAGACAAAACGGGAGGGGGAACACTTTTCAAACACAAACAGGAAACAGAGACAGACAAACAAAAACACAGACAGATCGCGACANATGAAGCCCATGATGAAGCCTCATGAGATGAACCCTTTTGCGAACCAATTGGCTGGAAAGCTTCAAAGCTTCATAAGGCTTCATCTCGCCATCACTAGCAGAGAGTTCAAATATAACCCGGTGTGGGCATTTATTCCTCATGGGCACATGATTCACAGCCTCAATATGACTGTCCTCCCTGAACACAGTCAGCAGCCACAAGGATCTCACACACACTAACAGGAAAAACAGCACCTAAATACACACTGACTAATCAAACCAACAAGACACAGGTGAGGGGGGAGGAGACAACACAGGGCACCAGGTGAACACAATCAGCAGCAACAGACAAAACGGGAGGGGGAACACTTTTCAAACACAAACAGGAAACAGAGACAGACAAACAAAAACACAGACAGATCGCGACAAACGGATGCACAAATGACACTTCGCCACCAACGAAGCTAGACAATCCATAACGGAGGCCGAGATCTATGGCCCCAAAGATCACCTCCGTTACAAATGGTAATAATATTATCAGCCAGGGAGTGCGTAAAACTAGTTGACAACTCGCATATCGCTATTACAGAGGAATGTTTGTGATAAAAGCTTGTACAATTCTATTATTTTGATTTAAAAAAATGTCTGGTAAAGCAGAGTTTTACGGTAGAACCAAGACTAAAATCAGGAAAATAATCACCTATCAATGAGATGTCTAATTTGTTGACACATTTGATATTAAGTCTTTATGACAGCAGATATGACAGAATGAGTCTTCAGGTTACAGCTACCTAAAAGTAATTGCCTCTCTCTTGATGTTATTTTATTTTGATCACAAAACCAACAATTTCATGAGGTACCGTTGTTGTTGTTGCCTTGACTGCAATTGGCACGTTTTAGTATCCTCAATAAAAAAGTGTGTTGTTAAAAAATAACAGTATCAACCTTAGCGCTAACCTTTGAATTCAAGCCTTATTCAAAACGGATCCTATATGTTTGTTTCTCTGTTGAGGCTTAATGTTTCAAATGATTGATTTTAGTTATTTAAAACTGAAGCTTCCCCTCCTCCCATCAGAGCCCACCCGGATCCTGAAGCAGCCGGAGTACAAAGTGGTCCAGAGAGGCAGGTCTGTGGTGTTTGAGTGTAAGGTGAAACACGACTCCTCGCTCATCCCCACCATGACCTGGCTCAAAGACGACGGAGAGCTACCCGACGACGAAAGGTCAGAGCTGTCTCCTTTTTAAGAGCGCTAACACTTGCTTACTGTCTGTCTACATTACTTATGATGGATCCAGCAAGACTCCTATAGCCATTTCACCTTTTTTATATTCAATATACTTAACTGCAAGATTCAAGGGCTTTATTGTCATGTGCACAATAGCTGAGCGTAGTTGTTGTTAGTGATGTAAATCCTAAATTCCAGGTTTCTCCTACAGTGAAAAAAAAGTGGAAATGGAAGTGACACAATAATAGAATTTAAATAATAAAATGCAAGAATAAGGAATGAATAAACTAGATGCATGTAAAAATATAATATGATTAAACTAAATATAACATTATAAATACAGAGTGGAATAAATACTGCTTATTGTAATTAAATATAAATATGTTAACTCTAAACAAATACATGTGCCATAAATAAGACATTTTACAGAGCTCAGGAATTTAACAATCTTATTTTTTCTCAGAGTGGCAGCACGTGTCTGATGGACAGATGGATGAGCAGGCTGATCAGCAGAGGATATGTGACCCGCTCTATCGAAATCAGTCGGAAGTCGCAACGGCTCATTTCAAAATAAACGTGGATTGGGTAAAAAACTATTTTTTTGGGGTTCGGGTGTTTTGTTTGATTTTAAACAAACAAAGTCTTGGCTTTCAGAATATGAAACTTTTATTTCCAAACTCACACGATAAATACATTCTTTAAGCTTGTAAAGGGAAGATGACAGGCAATCTGCTCCCCCTCCCTCCGGCTGACATTATGAATGTAAGCGTAGAGTAATCATAAATAACACGGCAGGGTATGTTACAGTTTGTTTTCATCTGATTTCAATTAAACAAAGTCTTGGCTTTCAGAATATTAAACTTGTTTCGGCAAATTCAGATGATAAATTCAACTTTGAAGCTTGTAACGGCATAATTACAAGCGGAGAACGGAGTAACTTAACGTCACAGCAGGCATAACAACAGCCGGCGTTTCTCGTGAGGGTTTTCCCCGGGAAACAAACGCAATACACACTAACGCAAAAATACACAAACACACACACGTATACACACACACTCGCGAGCTTCCCCCAGACCTGTAATCCAAAAGAAAATATCTTCCCTCCGTAGTATTTTGATCATTTGCTCCGCTAATAATCAATCAGATCGATGGATTCCAGAGAAGAGAAAACTTTGAAGGCCTTTTTCTCAAAATGATGACTCGGTGACAGTCATTATATAATGTGACATATTTCGCTTAATATTTGGAGTAAAAAAACAATCCTGATATCATTAGAAAGCTAGGAATATCCTCTTTCCAACAGTGTATACAACTCAAAATGTGTCTTCGGGTCAATGCGACTGATTTCGATAGAGCAGGTCACATATATCAGTGTATGGGTCTGTTTCTTTACTAATGTAATCAAGTCTCTTGGATGCTTATTCTCGTAGACTACATGACATTGTTGATCTCAACTGTCTGTATGAATGGTTTGTTTCCAGATTAATCGTGGACTCAGACAGCCTCGCCATCAGTGATGTGACGGAGAACGATGCGGGGGTGTACACCTGCATCATGAACACCACTCTGGATCATGATTCAGCCAGCGCTGAGCTCACTGTTGTCGGTATGTTCAGCTTTGCAAACAAACTCACAAATTATTCAAGTGTAAAACTCTCTCCGTTTCAGCTCTTCCCAGAAAAGTGAATCCGTTCAATAACTGTGCACAACAGATTGCCTTTCAGCGCTTCAAGGTTAATTACCTGAGAGTTTACCTAAGAGGGCCGGGGCGGATTTAGCCAGCTCTTGTGTCAGCAGCATGAATATTTGATTGTTGCCTTCTTAGCGAGACAGATAATCTTCTTTGCTTTCTTATGGCTGACTGACCACTAAACTCTTTCACTCCTGCCCTCCTCCTGGCAGAGGCCACGCCAACACCAGCGGTTGCTTACGGTAAACCTGCAGCACACCTGAGCATCCTTCTGGCTCAGCTGACGTGGACCTGTGTTGTTTGTTGGATGTTTTAGTAAAGTGGTGCATGCTGTTGCCCGAATATTTTGTATTTCTTTTTCATTATGATTTAGCAGCATTTATTCATGTTTATTCTTTAAAATGTACTGTATGTGTTTCCCTTTGTCACAAAAGTGGATACATTTGAAATGCATTACACACTTAACATTTGTGAGAAGCAATTTTACACTCACGCTTGAATGCAAGGATAATTTGTAAAGCAGACAGCTCCCCGTTGGACCACTTGAGATCTTTCAGATGCACCATTTTCATCATCACTCATTTATTCCAAGCATGCGATCCACTTTATCATTACAATTCCAAAACATGAGCATTAATTTAACCTCTCTAGTGAGCCTGAGACTCTATTTCATGCAGAGTGATTATTGAACACGCTCAGTTGAGCATCAGCCGCTTCATATGCATGATGCAGTGTCTGCATGTGTATTATAGGGCACATAAGATTGCCAAATGGAACATGTAAGGAAATGGAAAAGTAACTGAAAGGAGTGCTTGGTTAAACAAACATATTATCATATTTTCTAGTAACACAGAAACAGATTTATGTCACTAGTTATCCCCTTTTGCTTTTGCTTCATCTTCTCGTGGCATGAACCCTCCTGATCCTGAAGCTGTTACTTTGTGCTAACGTTGCTGCCTGTGCTGTTTCTCCTCTTCAGAGCGACCCGACCCCCCGACTGACCTGGAGCTGACGGACCAGAAAAAGAGGAGTGTGCAGCTCACATGGACCCCTGGGGATGAACACAACAGTCCTATCCAGAGTATGTTTTAAGTGTGTTCATGTGTGTGTATGATGTTGTGTGAATTTGTGTCTGTTTGTGATTTATGTGTTCACCCAAGCCGTTTGGAAGTTTCACATCCCCTTTTTCACCTATGAATTTAACTCTTATATTATCTTTTAATAGAAAGCCTTATATTAACAACTGGTGGTGTGTTGCTTGAAAGAAATAGGAATGTAGGAGATAGGGACAGTTAAAGATGATTTTAAGATGCATTTTGTAAATTGTGTGATAATTTTGACATTTTGTTTTACATATCTCTCTCTAGTGAGTCTTCCAAAATTATGGAAATGCAAAGCTAGTCACTGCGGTATCCCTTTTAATTAATTACCATTTTGACATTTAGCTGGATATGTGAGCAGAATCCTAATGATCTGCAAACCCTCGGGCTCCATCTAATTACAATCAACCAATATTCCAGTACTAAAAAAAGTCAGTGAAAGATCCCCAAATATGTATTTTGGAAAAAAACAATTGACCCTACAGGCCTGAAAGGAGGCTGTACAGATGTTGTATTTTTTGTATGCCAAAGTACAGCTGAGGTCAGCTAAAAACACACCAAAACGTCCATAGAAAAACCACTACTTCAGCATAATCTACTTCTAATGGCTTAATCCACAATGTCCTTTGAGCCCAAAGTACCACCAGATGTAGCATATTTAGACATGATCAGACCTTTTGACTTTTTGACTTCATCCAAAGATAAATCATATGTAGTCATTCCAGTTGTGCAAATAGACTGTCAGGCAGTGTATAAAGTCTTCAGTTGTATACAATACTTTTATTTTTCCTATTTTGCACAGAATTTCTGATCCAGTTTGAAGACTCGCTGCACCACCGAGGTCACTGGCACAATCTTACCGAGGTCCCTGGGAGCAAGACGACGGCTCACCTCAAACTGTCGCCCTACATGCACTACACTTTCAGAGTTCTGGCCTTAAACGCTGTGAATTTTAGCCGCCCCAGTTTTCCCTCCAGGATGTTTAAGACCGAACCTGCAGGTACAGACTTAATGTGGAGATTTTGATGGTCTTGTTCTGTAAATGTCATGTTTTAATAGTAATTCAATAATCAACCAATCTAAGGATGATTTCTACATACGAATTATCTTTAAAATGATGTTTAAACATAAAAGTAAAGTAGCCTATGCATCAGGTTTTATTGAAAGCTAATTGGTGTTTTCATCTGGGCTTCACTGGCGGTTTTATTTTTTTTTTTTTTTTT